AAGTTAATAAATAAAAAATCATTTTTCCTTATAAAACTATAAGAAATTCTTGCAGAGAAGTGATTTTTCGTATTTAAATTTGTCGTAAACAAATCAATTTTCTAAAAATAATACAAAAAAAAACACTAAACCAAAGTGTTTAAAACTCCATCGAGTTAATCGTTCTATTAATAAATGATTTTCCTTAATGTAACCGCCATTCTTCTAAGTTCTGGATCTTTTATACGATCATTAAAGAAGACAGCTAAAATTAGTAAGTCAAACAAGCTAAGATATCAGTCCCCAACACCGTATTTTTTTTTAAAAAAAACAGAGAGAATTAGTACAGAAAAAAAAGAAGTTCTTCCTCGTGCCATCGCCGAATCTATAAATTTAGCAGGTAGAAAGAGAGAGGGAAAAAATCGTCTCCTCATAAAAGCCTGCAAACTGGACACCTTAAACATATTCGAATTTCACGCCCCAATAATTGCCTTTGACGTAATAGGATGACGAAGTCGGCACGTGACAAACTCGAACGCCAGGTGGCGTTGGAGTGGCCTTAATCCGACAAGGCATACGAACTTTTTGGCATTTATCGGCTGCAATAAGCAGCTTCATGCTTCCGTCTTTTTTCGGCTGGTTAAAAGAAGCTTCTCTTTCTGGCTTCGGCAGGCTTGTGATATTATTTTACAATCAATGTATCACTAACAACAGTTTCATATACTAACATTCAGAGAAACTATGTCATCCTGTGTCGCTTGGAAGAATTGTAGGTCGTTTGCATCTTGTCGTCTGCTGTTTGTAGTGTTGCTTGGTAAGTTCATCCCATTTTTTTTTTTTTTTAAACTTAATTCTAGTATTCTCGAGGTTTAATTCATTTAATGCAGCTCTTGTAAAGTCCACGTTGAGAATTCCCTACTGGAAACGTAAGGAATTCTCAATGTGGACTTTGCAAGATCCACTGGTGCGCTGCAAAAAGATATAATTCGAATAATTTGCAAGTATACTTGCTGACTCTTCGAAGTTCTTGATTATTCATGGTTATTAATTTGAAAATTTTTATTAGGACGATATTGAAAGGGTTCTTGCCCTTAATGTTCCAATAACTTGCATCATTTATTGGTACAAAAAAGCGGGCGAATGTTATTTTTGTTAAAAATAATAACATTCCCCAAGGCAAAAATTTAATGTCAGGAAGTACTAGAGTCGAGAACAACGGTTTTTCGTGTTCGAATTTGGATTTATGTCTGAAAATATCCGAGTTTATTGATATGGAAAGAAAGAATTTGGCTACATTTCGAATTATTTAATGCTTTCGAATATTGTGAAACTCGGCCAACTGTTAGGAACCGAAATTTATGCTACTGGATCAATCGCATGGGCGTACCCGGGTGCCACATGGCTGCAGGGAACGTCCGAGACGGTATGGAACAATGAAAGTTGAGAGTGACCCGATTCTCATAATCTCATAAAGGTGGACATTGGCTGAGGAAACGGTTTCTAGGGATCCATTCCGGTTATTTCATCCTCCACTTACCGAAGTGAATGTGTTTTTGATATAATTCCAGTCGAGCTCTAAAAAATTCACGCGTTGATTCTCAGATTAATTCTTTTTCATTCGTTTCCCAATTCTTAAAATTATTCTATAATGTTTATAGAGCAATTGTAACGCCAATTTTTTTTTTCTTCTTTTCTATTTTAAGAATTTTGTAAATGGATTCTGTTTCGCTTTATCTCGTATCATTAACTGAAATAATCAATTGGTAATGGAGTATTGTAACTGTTATTGATTGCAATATTTAATTAAATGAAAAATAGGAGGAGGAATTAGTGATGGAGAGAATTGTAAATTTTCTAATTTCTCACGGATTATTTTCGAAAGTTGTAAAGCATTTTCCTTCCATGTAACGTTCTAATTTCTATTCACGGAAAATGAAAAACAGTTTTTAACGAAGGCCGATCTAATTTTGACTATTCTATACATAAATAAAACTTGCGATTCGAACTTGTTCGTCCAGTTCGATTGACCTCGTTGTTCGTAACAATCGATTCAGAATTAGTTTTGCACAATTGTCCAGTTCCGAACAGGAAGTTTTCTTCGTATAAATATAAATATAAACACACTTTTTTTTAAAAAATATTTGCAACATTTCAAAGCTGTTTAATCAGTTCCCTTCATTGGTTGGATGCCACTGATTACTCAAATTACACTCGCTAAATCTAGAAGGAATGAAAATTATTATTATCTATACATAATATAGATTAATTTAATTATATTTGCATTTGTTTCATTGTATACGGGGTATACATCTCAATGGTAAAAGCGGAAATAGCGCGAAATTAGTTCAAGGTCGTTAAGTCTAAAAGGTCTTTCCAACCAGATGTCCGACTGTTAAGAACCTGTTCGATGCCACAGATGATTGAAATGAAAGTTTCCATTTTCATTAGTAGAATATATATATATAACACGGATTCGCCATCTATAAAAAGGCATTATTACTTGTTACCTTATATAAATTATCGACTCTGTCACGTAACAATTCCTTATTTTCTTACCTTAATCATAGTTTTACTCGGATCATTTAAGTTATTTTCGAACTGTAAATCCGTAAAATTATATAGGAAAATGTAAAAAAAAAAAAAATGGAAAATAACGGGTGAAAGTGATATATCAACTCATTATAACTGCAATTATCGAATATTATAATTGTTATATCCTCTTCTAACTAAAGGAAAATGATGCTGAATGTAATTTTATATGCTGTATCTATATATATATAAGAGACCTATATAAAGTTATCCGTGCATATCTGTTTTATAAAAAAAAAAAAAAAAAAAAAAAACATATATGTATAATAAGATAAAAATATCAGATTTATCATTTAAAAAAGTCTTTACAAAGATTTTAAAATTACCGAAGCGTGCAAAATTAATACACAAGGAGATGCGAATAATAATTAAATGTAAGCAATAAAAGGATAAGGAAATGATAATAATAAAGATAAGTTTATTTATTCTTCATCACTTAAGGTAAAAGCAAATAGTGAGATTTTTACAGAAAAAAAAAATTTTTTTTNATTTCTGTTCTAATTATTCTCAATAAAAATTATAATAATAATAATTAAATTTAAAGAAAAAAAGTTTAAAGTTAAAGCTTATTAACCTTTGAAATAATTTAATAAAGTATGAGGACTCTAGAGTCATTAAAAATGGAAAAAATAAGTGAAAAAATTGGCTATTTTGTATATTAGTTTATTACATAATAAATAAAATATAAGGAGATGAATTGCTTACAATGATTTATGCAATGAAATTATTAAACTTCCTGTCAATATTTGAGGATGAAATTATATTACAGTACATTTTTTTGAAATTTAAATTTAATCAGGAATATAATCAGTAGTAGTAATTTCGTGACTTGTTTAAATATGACCATATGGCTAACAGGGACAGCAACTTATACTTTATTATAATGCATGTCATGCCTTGGGGTTACTAAGTTGTCTGATCCCAAAACTCTGTGTTCAACCTACAGTTAATGATTTTGTTTTCTTTAATGGGGAATTAAAATAAAACCTATTCTAGTCCGAAAGTAGAAATTAGTTTAATTTAAAAACAAAAAAAAAGGTACAAATACCAGTCGGAAACATCTGTTCGTATTTATCAATTACTTGGATTTTATTTGATTTTCTTTTATTATTTTTAATAAAGTTACTCTTACTTTATTTTTAAGGAATAAATTAAAAGAGGTCAAACAATCCTGTCTGTCTATAAATGCGTAATACTTTTAAATAGAAAAAGCAGACACTTGATTCATAAATTTAAACCTTTTTTTTATTAAAATATTTTAAGGAATTTAAATACTTTTTTTCGATTTTTTATAGATGCAAATTTATCGTTTATATCAGATTTTTAAGTTAATTTTTTATATATGTATTTAAAGCCTTTAAAAATAATTTTTTTATGAAATTCTCACGTAATATATTTTTATAAACGTTTATAAAGCTCTAGACTTATCAGAATTGCAAAGAAATGTGTTGTACATTGTAATTTTTCAATTAAACATATATAAAAACTTTACTCCTATCTGAAGACTGTAAAAGTATACGAATAAATTTAGATTTTTTCATTTTTATATCGGAATTTTACATTAAAAAACAACAAATTTTACAGGCCCTTTATGTTGTAAGACTCTTCTATCATTACTTTATCCAGACATGTTAAAGTTTTATAATAATTTTACACCTCCAGACAGTTCAAAAGATGCTTGTTTCCAGAGATTTTTATCTCTTTATGATATAAAAAAAGAAATAAAATCTATTTTTATACATTATAAAGACCGTATATAGTGTCATACACATCTACATATTTACTCGTGATATAAAAATATTTAATTTATAATTTTTTATTTGTTTTAACTATTAAAAGGATATTAATAACTCATACCTGTTCTGTTATAAAGTAAAATTTAGTTATCGCCTAAAAGACTGATTCCAAAATTTTCTCATGAGCATAATTCAAAAATAATATACAAAATATATAAACTGGAAAGTCTAGAACAGGAGTTCCCAATGTTTTTCATGTATTAACCTCTTCATTATTATATATAGGCCTATACATCCGTTATGTATTGGGTTTTATATTGTAATTGGGGGAGGAAATTCTTTATCTGTAAGACAATTCCTAGTGTTTTAAATAAATAAATAAGGATGACTCGTTGAAACAATTTTTAAACACAAAGGTTTAGAACATCATTTAAAAATATATTTTCATAAATTGGATTGAATGTATTAATTATTTATAATTAAAAAGATAATTAAATTGTCTATTTATATGTCTATTACTAAAAATAGAAATGAGGGAAACGATTAGTACCCTTCTACTATAATTAATGTCCTTTTTTTAGGCTTGTAAACGATGCAGGAAAATCCCCTTTCTTCGACTTTCGTCCGAATAAATTACTGTTTTTATTACGAATCAAAGGTTAAACTAGTGGCCCCACTGTAAGAAATGAGACTTTATTGTTTCGATAATCTTTAATTTAAATAGGAAAATCCATTGTCGAGGACTTTTGTATATAAACTCTCACACTGTGTTCACGTGGAAGTTGTCATGATTTGGGTGGAACAAAATGCTGAATAAGGGCAGAAAAGTGTCCTTGAATTTACACGAAACTAGGGCATTATTAGTATGCTTAATTTTTCCTCTATTTTATGTTGTTTAAAGGAACATGTTACATTGTCCAATTGAGATAATACAAGAGTAAAGTAGAAATTAAAGCAAATGTTTTAAAAATATATAAAGAAATAAGCAAAAGAAAAAAAATCTGGAAAATTTTATATAATTATTTAGTTTATAATAAGGAAATTAATAAAATATTTCCATTGTTCTTAAATGAAACCTTGAAAATTTGATATATGTATATACATATTAATGTTATCGCTATGATATGTTTTATAATCATAATATAGATTTTTTTTTATTATTTGTTATGAATACATTTGGAATTTTATGAGGCTTGTTTGATTTCCTATAACACCTTTAACTATTATAGCAGTTTGCGAAGATCTTATTATCTAGATCTAGTTGAGAACGATCCATTGTGTCTTTCGAACAATATGGGTTAGGAATTGTTCAAAATGGCCCAAATTTTTCAAACACACCCATATAAATACAGAATTTGCAGGTTCGAGTTTTCGCCCTGTCTCGTTCAAAATCTAGATAAATAGGTTATTTGCCCTTTTATCAATCATTTATTACTTAAGAAAATGAATGAGATAATCATTTTCTTCTGTAAATTCTATCTATTTTAGT